CCTGGGTCGCTGGTCCTTTAACCTTCTCTTCCAATATGGAGACCAGCTTTCACTTCGTACAGACGAAGTCGCTTCTATCCTCTGGGAGAAAGACAAACATGATACATCCTGTGCAGGTCACAACAGCTGATCGCTCACTATGCATAATGTCTTCCTTCTAAGAACCACCTCAGATGTTGTATTTACTGCTCACAAAAGCCTGAAAGGCCAAAAAAAACACAAAACCACCCCACTTTGTGGGAACCCCCTGTCCTCCTCCCTCCCCCCCAGCAAACTCCCAGGCAAACTCCCTCTGTTCGCCTGTCACTCGGTTCGCCTGTCACTCAGTTTGCAACCAGCTGCTTTTTTATAAGGCTCCTGGCTCGAAGCAGTTGGCCCGGCTCAAAGCCTTCCCTCCAATCAACCACTCAAGGCCCACCTGGAACATGGCAGGTGATATCATGACTCTCTGAGTTTTTTCTCAAGTATTGAGTCAGAGAGAGTTTGGCCTGCTTTATTTTATTTGACAAGAGTAGTGTGCATTGGATTAGTTTTTGGCTGATTGTCATTCTAGGATTATGAGACTATTCACCTAGAGCTAACAGCAACATTAGATATGAAGAGTATCCACTCGGAATACATCATACTTTTCATAAAATGTTGTAGTTTGACTGTATGTTGAAAAGCCTGGTTAAACTGGATGTAAAACAAAAACATTTCCTATGAGTAAATTCAGAGAGCTTCCCTTTCCATCCTTTTTGTTTTGGTTTTCTGTGTGTGTGTTCTGGCACAGTGAATATATGGGTATGTAGTCTCATGCTCCAGGACGGATGGTTTTACTGAGATTTGCAGTGTATTTGTGTGTCAGTGTAAATACAGCTAGACCTGTAGTCCAATATGAGCATTCTGAGAAGACCAGGCCAAGAAGTACATGCATCTAATACTTACTTTATTATTACAGTAGCTTTCTATAAAAGTTGCTGGTTTTAAATGATTTTAATGTTACCTGTTTTCATTTCCTTTTCTCTCTCTGAAATGCTAGAAATTGTTAAATGCTAAAATCTGTAGCAATAAGAAAAAAAAATCTGTAGATCGAACTTTCAAAGCTATTATTTGATCCAAGTTGTGCTTTATTCTTAAATAAATGACTCATCAGCTTTCTGAACTGTATGTACTTTTTGTTCTTAAAGTGACATGAGAGAAAATGCATTGTTTACAAATTATACACTTATCTGTTAAGTTAAATGTACCCATAAGGACTTGATATCTATGCTACTGGTTGTGAAACAGCCAGTGGATACATCTGATAAATTCTCAAGAAGCCAACTGACTCCCAACAAATTAATTATATGTATTTTCTGTTTCTGCTCCTTTCTTGTCCCTGGATTTCCTGCACAGAGCCCTAGAATAAATTATCTAGATCTGGGGACTCTCAGACTTTTTCATAATGTGGACCACATACTGATAGAGTATCTCATAGACCTCCAGCCCTCCTATTCGCAGTTGCTGAACTTCATAGTGGTAACTGCACCAATTGTTTACATGAGAAACAATTAATTGTTCCACTGGTAGCTCCACTCCCTGAGAACAAATCTTATCTCTCCTCCTCTTAGCTGTCCCTAAGGGTACCTAATTATGCCGGTTCTCCCTCCTTTTTTCCAGATGCTTTTAGAGGCATCCAGGTTCATCTATAGAACGAAGATTGACACTTAGAATTTCAGTGGTGAATGCAATAGAATAGTGGTTTTCAGTCTTTTTTTATTTGTGGACCCTAAAAAATTTCATTTGGAGTTGTGGACCCCTGTGGAAAACTTAGACATAGTCTGCGGATCCCCAGCGGTCTGCAGACCACAGGTTGAAAACCACTGTTCTATGTTAACAGCAACCTTTCACAGACCCCTTAGACATAGCCCAGGGACTATGGGGTTAAAAACCACTGCTATAGATGAAACTAAAATAGATAAATAGAGACTCTGTAGAAGCAGCTGCTCTCTGCCTGTGATAGCCTTTATGGTGAAACCTCCTCCCTCAGTAATCATGGCCTCTATCTTACCAATATTCATTCTTAATGCAGTGCACTCAAAACCAGGTTGCCATTGTTCATAGTTGGCTTAGTTCATAGGGTCTCACAGTCTTCCACACATATCACTAAGTCATCAGTGAACAGCATGTTTCAAAGCAGCTCTCATTCTGTACTCCCACTTATATCCTTAACAGCAAACAAAAAAGGACTCTATGCTGATTCCTGATGCAGACCAATGTTCACTGGACACACGTCTCTGTCTCAGGCTCCACCAAACTAGTTCTCACGGTATGCTATTGTACACCTTCAGGTCCACAAATACTATACCCAGTTGCTGTCCATGATCTCTGAACTTCTACAAATTCTCATGGAGAGCAAATACGGCATCAATTATACTCCTTCCTGGAATGAATCTGTACTGACTCTTCCAAGTTTCAACCATCCTATGCAGACACTTTTCAGTAATCTTCTCCTGTACTTTCCTAGCATGTGATGTCTGCTTAATTGGGCAATAATTAGCACACAGTGTAGTATCTCCTTTGTGTTTAAAAATAGGCTCCACAAGACTTTAACAGCATTCATTTGGCATTTTTCCTTTCTTGAGAATACCATTGTACAGACTTGTAAGATATTAATGCCTTTCCCTCCCAATTTCTTCACCATAACCACTGGTACTTCATCTGTCCCAGGTACTTTCTCTGTTTTCATTTTTCCTAAGTGCCTTCTTCCTGTATGCAATATATCATGCCCTGGTTCAGCTTAAATGTTTTTAATTCCTCCCTTGGATTCTCCTCATTCATCGCTCTTCCAAATAGTCACTCCAAACTTTGTTAATTGAGTCATCATTCATTTGCAATGCTCCATATTCATTGTTAACAAACTCATTCACATCTCTCATCATTTTCTCTCTTACCTTGATGAGTCTATAGATGGTCTTCTCTCCTTTATGTTCTCCTAGTCAGTTATATAACTTGGTCATTGAAACGTCTTCCAGTCAGCATTCCTACTTTCCAACTTGCACATCTCAGCTTATTCACTCACTTCCTTAACTTTAGTGGCCCTTGCCCAGTTACAACAATATACGTTGCTTGCGGGGAATGCCCTAGCCCTCTGGGGTACATTTGACATGGACATTGGTTCATGTAAGCATATCTGTTGGACAAACTTTTCAAGTTGGCTTTCCAAGACTAACCTTTGGTTTGAAATCAAAGTTTTCCTTTTAAATCAAAGCTGCCCATCTGCCCCAAGGGCCTTGTTCTGTCCTCCTTTATTAGATAAAAGTGTCCGTTATCACTTAGGTACCATCTCCTACCTTCTTGCCTTCTATCTCAATAGCTCATGGATGCTCATTACTTTCAGTCATGGGACAAAATGGACATCTGCCTCCAAATTAAGTTCTACATTATTTCATGGACTGACCATCAGGAGCCACCCTAGTGTAACTTTCTTTCCTTCCCTCTATTACTAACTGAGATGAGGTGTCATGAATACCTTCAGAGTTTCCAGAATATCAAGAAAAAACATCAAAGACCATTTTTCTACATCAGTCTTCCATGTTACAATATAATGCATGGTAATACATACCATTCACTTTTCAAAACAACAACATTTTGATCAAGTAAAAATTCAGTAGAGAACACCACGAAGTAGTTGAGGATTACTGTACATAAATGCTCCTGTCATTTCAACCAATAATTTCAGTTAATTATGCCATAAACAAAGGTTTAACTCAAGGGCTATTTGACACTGTGCTTCCATTGTTACAGAAACAATCCAGGAATCTAGCAAAACTCAAATAACGCCAGATGTCAAAGATTAACAAACAGCACAGCTATGATGGTGTTTGTAGAGGACTGTTTATGTCAAAAGGATGGAAGTTTATTCTCAGTCTTAGAATATTCTCTTCAAAAGTTTTCTTGTTTTTTTTTTTTCAAATATTTAATTTTTTTTAGATTAGTTTCATTTAAAAAAAATAGACTGATGCTATTTTCACACGCAACCCAAAGGAGTCTCAATTTCTAAAAGGGTTGGTTTTGAGTAATTTGTTACAAAAGTCTGATAATGGAATTCCATTGACCTGATAGCTAACCTAATAGCATCTGCCAAATCTATGTGAAACATTTCAAGGACACCTTGTCTTCCTTGTACTGCATACACGGATAGCTCTCTTCCCTCCCCCTCCCCCCCAAATCGCTAACCTCTAAGTGTCCATTCTGTATAGTGATGCCAGTTGCCAAACTTTGTAATACACTTAGAGGTTTATTTTTTTCATACCAGAGTTTTCAAAGCTTCAGTGAACTTCACAGCATAATAGTGCTACATTATCCAAAAGTGCCTGGGAGATTTGTCTTTTGAAGAGATGTTTGTGTCCTCATTACTAGTGTAGTGGTTTTACTTGGATTTTAACGCCATACTGAATAACACACACTTCTGTCATCTAAATAATAAGTTTGTGATAAAATTAAGCAGAGGAAAGAAAGGAGAAATATTTTCTCCACATTAAATTTTTCATCATAAGGCTTCCATGTCATGTGACCATGACTCGGTTTATGTGCAAAACCATCTCTTCAGGCTGTAACTGGATACACTGCCCATCTGGGTCCTACAAGAATCTCGGGCAGTTTGTACGGGGCTTTCCAGGTAAAGACAACTCCCACCGCCTTGTTTTCCCTGCTTGAGTATAGAATTGGATTAGTAGAGGCTTACGTGACAAGGCGGGTGGGTGCAGATAGTACTTATTCCACATGCAGGGCCAAGATGGTGGTTATCAAAAGAGGAAGAAAGGACTGGAGCAGGGAAGGGAGACTGGGCTCTCAAGATAGGAGCAGGCTTTGGTACACTGTTTATACCCCAGAAAGAGAAGGAAAACTTTTTTTTAGCTACTCTCTTTGATGGTGAAGGAAATCCACGCTGTGATAAGTTGAATGTTTTACTTTCATAAAACTAAAAAATAAATAAATAAATAAAAAGTCAATCATTTCCTGTGTATTTTTCACAGGGATTGGATACAGGTTACTTCCATGTGAAGAAGAAAATGTTTTCAGGAAGTAATGAGCCAGTGACATCTTTTCCTGTGCCTTATGATCTGCCCCCAGAGCAGTATGGAAGCAAAGGTAAGATGTACCTCCTTGAAGAAGGAAAAAATGTGAATGCTACCCTGAGGCCAAATTGTTTTGTCCAATTTCAAACCCGGTCACATGCTCTGCATTGCAAAGCTTGACTCCAACATTACTGTGTTGGCATTTCACTTAGGACAACCCTCCAACAGGTTGCTTTGTGGCTTGAAAGCAAGGGATTAGGAATTTTTTGTGGTGTTACTTGTGAGAAGATAGAGCGTGAGGGGGAATATAGCAGGGAGGTATAAGCCTGTGGGAGCAGGAAATAAAGTCAGTCTTGAATTCCCTTCTAGCGTGGTGTTCAGGGTCTCTGTAAACTTCACAGGGGTTTTTGTTTTGTCTTGGCAGATTTGATGTTTGGGTTTTTTTGTTTTGTTTAGACAGGTGAGTTAAATAGTCTTGTGATTCCCCTTCCCATAGTAAGGCTTGGGAAGTATATTTTGTTCCCATGCAGATACTCTGTTACGATGATTTTGCAAAGCTACCTTAAGAGAGTCTAGGGGTTATGGGAAATCAAAGACTTTGGGAGAAGGAAAGCAGAGATATGGAGGAGAGGAACAATTACATGAGGAATGTGAAAAATTATGCACAAAAAAAGTTCAGAGAGAATGTGAAATAAGGAAAAGAAGGTGAGAACTAAAATTCAAAAGAAAAAATAAATCTATAAGTAGGTCTATGTGTCTGTCATAGAGGTCACGGAAGTCATGGATTCTGTGATTTTTTCCATGACTTCTACAGTAGCCAGTGTGGCTGACCCCAGGGCCACCTGCTCAGGCAGCCCCAGCGACAGCCACACTGGCCGCTGCTGGAGCAGCTCTGAAGCCAGCTGCTCGGGCGGCCCTGGGGCCTGCTTAGGTGGCCCCAGGGACTGCCTGAGCAGCAGTCCTGGGGGCGGATGGAGCAGTCGCAGCTTGGCGGCCCCTGGCCCAGGGGCAGCCGGAGCAGGGGGATGACTGGAGTAGCCGCTGCTCAGCAGCCCCCGGAAGCTGGTGCCTCTGGCCCTGAGCCCACTGGACTCTCCTGAGCAGCGCCTCCCCCCAAGAGTAGCAGCCCTCCAGGTAAGTTTTAGTCAGGGGTATTTATAGTACAAGTCATGGACAGGTCAGGGGCTGTGAATTTTTGTTTATTGCCCCTGACCTGTCCATGACTTTTACTAAAATACTCATGACTAAATCATAGCCTTATCCATAAGATATATGCTTGTATCAGCCTCCTTTCAATGTTTTCTTCAGTCTTTCATGTATAGCCCAGGATTTAATTTAGTCAGGAGTAAATTTTTTAAAAAATTGAATCTCCCTTCGAAAAAGGGATATAAATTGCAGGGGAGAAAGGGTTATGAACCCCATAATAGTATGAGACACTTTCAAAATCTCAAACTCCACAAGGCTGTGACCCTACCCATAGAACAGATAAAGCAGTAAACTGATATATGCATGATGCTGCAGTGCAGGGGTAGTTTGAAAGCTTAGAATAAACTGAGAATTATGGTGATGCTTCAGGGAAGCCCACAGAATCTGGTAAAAGGTACTTCTTCGGATGCTGGTCCCTATTTATTCCGTTCCTGGATATCCTACAGTCTGAGATCCAGTCAGGTTGTGCTCCCGGTAAATGAAGCCATACTAGAACCAGCAATGGCTGAATGGCACACACTGGCTACCTGCCCTGACTCCCAAGAGGGTAGAAAAGTGGTACTTTGTACCAGGTAAGGGAGTGGAATTCATGTTCACCCACCCTGCCCTGAACTCCTTAGTGGTCCAGGCAGCTCTGAAAATATCCAGACAGCAACATCCAAGCACCACTCCTGCAGATAAGGAAGCCAAAGTCTCTAGATCTTGTGGAGAGGAATGTGTTCACATCTACCAGCCTTCAGTTTAGAATCTCAGACTATTGGGCCCTTATCACCAAATACAATTTCCTGAATTACTCTAAGTTCCTGGACTTTAGGGACAAGTTATCTCAGGAGGACAGAGCTCAATTTCGAGCCTTTATTGATGAGGGCAAACTAGTGGCCAAAACTTCATTATAAGCTGTGGATGATGCAACAAGAAGATCCATGGCAACAACTAGTGGGAATCATGGCTGCAGTCTTCGGGGTTTTCCATGGAGATCCAAAATATTTGTAGGGACTTGACCTTTGTTTAGGCTCATTCAGTGAGAAGACAAATTAGTCTTTACACTTGGTGAAGGACTCCAGGGCAGCCCTCCACTCCCTGGGTATATGTACAACTGGCCCCAAAGAGAAAATGCCATGAACAGCCATACAAACCGAGGCACTTACTTCAATCTTTCTATCACCAGCATTCTTATGAGCCACCTCACAAATGACAGAAAATGCAGAGGCCAAGATACCTTCCACTTCAACCACAGCTACCCAACCTCCTCCCCCAACCAAAAGATATTTTTGACTAGATGCCTGAGAGCTGCAATACAATATTGATGACATCTCTACCTGATTCTGAGATCCACTTCGGGGGATGCCTAGCAAAATTTTCACACAATTGGAGGGTGATATCAGACAAGTGTGTGCTGGATATCATCCATTCCAGCTATACCATTGAGTTTTGCCTCCCACCTCCTCCAAAACCCCATTCCCTGACCCTTTTCAGGGACCATTCTTATGAGCGTATCCTCCTTCAAGAGGTAGAATCTCTTCTCCAAAAGGAGCAATAGAGCAAGTACACCCTCAACATTGGGGGGGAGGGGGGAGGGTTCTATTCAAACTATTTCCTAGTTCCCAAGGAGAAAAGAAGCTGGAGATCCATTCCCAACTTGGGTTGGCTCAACATTTTTATTTGCAAACTGAAATTCCATGTGCTTACAGTGGCACCAATAATACATCCCTAGAAAGAGACACATGGTTCACAGCTCTCCGTATGAAAGATGTATATTTTCATCTGGATATTCACCCCTTCCACAGATGATTCCTCAGGTTTGTGGTGGGTTCCCACCACAGCCAATACTGGGTCCTCCCATTTGGGTTAGCTACAGCTTCCAGAGTCTTCACAAAGTGTTCTCAGTAGTAGCAGCGCAGCTCAGCTCAGCTCAGACAAGGTAGCTTCACCATCTTCCCATTCTTGGATGACAGGCTTCTGACTGGCAGGTATTGCACCACCTTCTACCACCCGTGGAAATATGCATAGACATGGAGAAGTCTACCCGTACTTGGATGCAGACCACAGAATTTATATGAATGACACTAGATTCAATCAGGGGAAACCTCTACCTCCCCAAGGACAGATTTCACACTGTGATCACTCTGATAGACTTAGTTCTGCACAGCCCTCGAATATCAGTTTGGATCTAGCTCACTCTCCTGGGTCATATGGTGTTATATATTTACGTGATGCCATTCACTAGTCTCCACCTTCCTTGCCTACAAGCTTGGCTCAAAAAAATTATATGTTGAATAAGCACAGCACGAACACCATAGTGACAATCCACAGTAAGATGAGGGCCTCACTGACATAGTGGAGGAACCCTGGACACATGTGCATGGGAGTTCCCTTTCTATCCCCCACACCTGACAAAACGATAATTACAGATGCCTCCCTGAGAGGCTGGGGAGCCCACATGGATAATCGTACAGTGCAAGACACTTGGTCTACTTTGGCAGCCAGAATGCACATAAATCTTTTGGAACTGAGAGCAGTAGCAGAAGCTTGCAAAGCATTCCCGCCATTCATACAATCCTGGCGTGCCCAGATAATGTCCGACAACATAACAACCAAGTAACCATAAACAAGCTGAGCAGGGCAAGATTCATCCCATGAGTTGACTGTTTCTATAGATGGAGAAACTTGTGTATCCGGAACCATATTGCCCTATTGACAGTTTACCACCCAGAATTCACTGGTAGACACCTCAGAAGGCATTTCATCACCAATTGTGAGCGAGAGTTACATGATTCAATGGTAAACGGCATCTTCACTCAGTGGGGAACCCTCATTTGGGAATTGTTTGTTTCCCAGGCAAAGAGGAAATGCAACATATACTGCTCTAGGGGAGCTCAAGGACAGTACTTCAGAAGCGATTCTCTCCTACTGCCTTGGACAGAGAGCTTGAGCTGTGCCTTCCTTTCCACCACGACTACCTCAGGGCCTAGGGAAAATTAGACTGGGGAGGGCCACGATGGTGGACTATACAAATGCTGGTTCGTACACACTTAGAGAGACTGCCAATTTATTTGACCCCAAATTATTTTTTTTTTTTACAAACCAGCTTCTAGTATACCTCAGACTAAGAGAAATATATCTACTTAAAAAAATTATAATGCAAACAGTTATCCTGAGCTTCTTGAAATCTTTCAGGAGACCCTCAGAAATGTAGTGGTGGATTCCTTAATAGTCATATTCTCCTCCCAACCTTGTTGTCTTGACTTGTCTGTTTTAAGTCACATCCACTGCAGTGTTAATCATCCACAAAACTGTGATCACATCAAATTTGATCCTGCTCCCATTAAATCAATGGAAGTTTTGCCATTGACTTCAGTGAGAGTAGGTTTGAGCCCATCATCCTAAGACATACAGGGTTATAGAGCATGTCACCCTGTTTGTATAATGTGCTGGGAAAAGCTAAAAGGAAAAAGGGTTGGTCTGCTGTATTAAAGAGCTCTTCAGGACTTCATTTTCCCCACATACTCAGATATGTTCTTAAGTGCCATTTCAATTTCCCTGGTGACAATACAGACCATTAAAATAGAAATGCAGATGTAGCCATATCACTAACATTGTGTCTTAAGAGTAGTATACAGCATATTGTCCGTAGTAGTAGTAAATACTACTAAATCTGTTCCTCTTTCAATACAACGGTAAATTACTAACTGAAAGGTATAGCATTTATTTTATTGTATGATGTTTACCATTAATTAAATCTAATCTTTTCCAATAAATCATTAAATGGCAAATACTAACTGAAGTTCCAGTAGGAACTGCACATGCCTACACATGCAAACAAATTAAACTCTTATTTGCAGCCAGTTGATGATGTGCTTGGGGAAA